CTGGCTATGCTTTTGCTGCCAGTCCTTGCTTGAGAAGCAAGAATATACAGAGAATTGACACCAACAGAGAGCACTGATCAAGCCCAGCTGATGAGTAATGCTGCGTGTCAAGAGTATTCAATAAAATTATTCGCTGTCATCTACGCCATCAAGGAACTTAAACACTAGCACAGACGACGTTCAGATAAATAGACTTTCAGGGCATAAAAGCTCTCAAGTGACAACTAAGTGTGTGTATGCGCGTGTGTGCACACGTGCACGTGTGTGTGAGCATCCCTATGCAGGGATGCCCATGCATGTATACACACACAGAATGGGCAAGTGTTTAAAGAGACAATATTACACAGCAGCACCTCTTTTATTGAGAGATCATTTGAATATACAGGTATTGCAACCAAACACAGCCAAGAACCAGGAGGCCAGAAACATTTATGTGAAAATAAATACCACAAAGTCCACCATTTTTATTGATAGCTTCATCCTTTAAATCATTATTTAGAGTTGTTTAGTTTTACTTTAGACAAAATCCTAGCATAGTCACATTAAAAGCAGGTGTTAAAGAGTAAATTGGATAGGCAAGGCCAAGATATCATAGGTGGCCATTCTGTCAGTAAAACACTCCCAACTGGCAAGAGGGAGAAAACGTGTGTGTGTGTGTTTGCATGCACTTACAAACATAAACTTAGCATACTGGAACCATTGAATATAGAGGAAACACATGAGTAAACATTAACAAAGAGCATTGTATAGAAAGCAGAATGTAGTAATCACAGAAACATGCAGAAAATATTAAGATTACAAAGTGTTCAAGATATTTGGAAAGCTTGTAAAACATTTTAGACAGTTTCCCCAAAAAATGGTAGGGTTACTAGATTTAGCAAGTAAAAATATTTTATTTGGCAATACAAAAATTGGCTAAAAACAAGAGGGCTTGATAATCTCTGGGAATTTCATTGATGTGGGTTGCCAGGTTTTCTGAAATGACTGTCAAGTGTTATCATAAGGGGAGATGGTGGGGGCAACTGATATTCGAGCTGTAGGAGTTGTGGGTTGTGTGTTTGGACAAGTAAGTCCCAGGCAAGTTTACTTTGGGCCTCTCCATTGGTTAAGAAGGACATATCTGGAGGCACCTGGGTGGCTCAGTTGGTTAAGCATATGACTCAATTTCGACTCATGTCATGATCTCACAGTTTGGGGATTTGAGCCCCGCATTGGGCTCTGCACTGACAGTGCGAAGCCTGCTTGGGATTCTCTCCCTCCCTCTCTTTCTGCTCGTCCCCCACTAACACCCCCACTCTCACACACTGTCTCTCTCAATATAAATAAATAAACATTAAAAAAAAGAAAGGCATATCTGTCAGGATTGTTCCCACCTGCAAGTAATGACGCCTGACAAAAGGTCATGTAGACAGGAAAGGAGTTTACTGTCTCATGCCAGAGCAGATCTGAGTTGGCATCCAAGACTCACATGAACCAGCAACATCATCAAGGGTCCAGATTCTTTAAATCTTACTATTTCATCATCCTTAAGATTACATAATGGCTGCTATATTACCAGGTCTTAAGCAAGAAGAAAGGGAGGGGCACCTGGGTGGCTCAGTTGGTTAAGCATCTGACTTTGACTCAGGTCATGATCTCACAGTTCAGTTCATGAGTTCGAGCCCCATGTCAGGTTCCTTGCTGACAGCTCAGAGCCTGGAGCCTGCTTCAGATTCTGTGTCTCCCTCTTTCTCTCTGCCCCTCACCTGCTCTCTCTCTCTCTCTCTCTCTCTCTCTCTCGTAAATAAACATTAAAAAAAAAATAAAATAAAAAAAGAAGGGGAAAAGAACACCAAAGTTAAAGGGCCAAAAACACACCAGCTGAAATTGCCTCTGAAAAGTTCCTGTGAGTTGTACTCAGTGCATTCCTCTTTAATCTCCTTGGCCACAACTGGATCATAGGGCCATTCCTAACTGCTGGGAGTCTGGAAAGTTGTTTTAAATTGGACACATACACCTTCAAAAAAAATTAATACATTCAAGGTTCAGTTGGTGAGAAAAAAGGGAGGAATGAATGAATATTAGGTAAGCAATTAGCAAGCATCTTTTTTTTTTTTTTTTTTTTTTAGAGTTGACACACAATGTTATATTGGTTTCAGGGCTACAACATGGTGGTTCAACAACTCTATACAATGCTATGCTCACCGTAAGTGTAGCCACCATCTGTCACACACAACACTACTACAATACCGTTGACAGTATTCCCTGTGCTGTACCTTTCATCTCTGGGACTTATTCATTCAGAAAGTGGAAACCTGTCTCCCACTTTCTTTCACTCATTTTGCCCAACCCCCCAAACCCTTCCCCTCTGGCATCCATCAGTTTCTTGTCTGTATTTACAGGTCTGTTCTGTTTTTTGTTTGTTTGTTTGTTTGTTTTATATATGTCACATGTAAGTAGAATCACATGGTATTTGTCTTTCTTTGTTCAACTTATTTCACTTAGCATAATACCCTCTAGTTTCATCCATTTCATTGCAAATGGTAAGATCTCATCTTTTTTTGGCTGAATATATTCGTATTATTGGTTGAATTGTCCAATTCCAAGATCTGGAACATGTCATTTTGCCTGATTCTCTGTACCCCAGACTCTTGGAAAACAAGCTTAGCGCTGTGTGACAAGTTTCACATATTTATTTGACACTTAGTTATTAGTAGACCGTGTTGCTTCTCAGTCTGGTTTAATTTGAGAGACATGGAAGGGAGGCAAGGTCTCTGGGCAATTGATAATCTATTACAGGGTGCACCTTGTGATATGACATTATTTTAACCACCGTTACAAGCAAGATGGGAGCATCTTTGTGGTTTTCATAGCATCCTCTGCTTAGACTAGTGAAATCTGTAATACTGTACATAACAAATGACTAGGTTGCATTAAGAAAATATTGAGACATTGGGGAAAGCTTCACAAAATAACATTTGAACCAGACTTTAAAGGATGGGTAAGATTTCACCAACTGATACAGACACAGAGACGCTTCAGGACACCGCATTGTTAGAGAACTGTTAAATTACCTTGAAAAGATGTATCTTGCTATGTCAAGAAGATTGAGTCACCTATCTTGTAAAGAAAATTTTGCAAGAAAAAGTAGATTTCTCAAATGCTACAAAGGCTTTCTGCTTTAATTCCGATTCAATTATCCAGAAAATAGCATTCCGAGTCCTTTGAAATAATCAACCTTTTACCCAAATCCTAAAGCATCTTTCTTGTCATGCTGTGTTTTGTGAACATTTCCTTCCTTTCTCTCCTGCAGATATTATGTGTAGCCCAATCTTGTTCATGTCTTGACAGGTAAAAAGGTGGCAGTCTCTTATTTCACCTCCGTCTAAGCAACAGAGTTAGGAATTGTTCCTCTGGCTTGATATTTGAATTTTGAGGGGAAAGAAAACAAAAGGAATGAAGAACAAAATCGGGAAACGAGGTTAAGAACATGTCGCTCCAGACCCTGGGAGCAGTCAAATCAAGCTGCCAGCTGCAACAAGAATCTCTCTAATAAGGAAATTAGAGCATGATCATTTCTGGCTATGTGACTCTGATTCTAAATAGGTTTTACAAATAGATTGTGATTGAACTTGGAAACATAAACAAATTGGCTTTGCGGAATAAAGGCTGAACTACATTTTGGTTAGAGAATTAAAATGCTTTTATGGAGGTACTCTGGGAGAACGGACAGCTATTTTAATGACAGCATATGCATTTCTGAAACATACCGGCTTTGCTGGCTTCTCTGTAGAGAATCAGGTCTGATAAACTCAAAAGAAAGTTTCCCAACAGAGTCCCTGGGAGGACAGCTGATAAAGGCAGGGAATGGGCAGTGTGTGTTTGAAATTCCCCATTCAGATGCTGAGAGGAGAGGTGCCATTTAAAAATAATAGATTTTAAAATATCAGTGGCTTAAAAAATTCTAGTCAGCTATCTCCCTTGGACATTTCTTTTGTCTCTTGGAGGGTTGGGGATAGACGTTCTTTAAGCTCTATTAATACATTTTCTCTTATAAATATTCATCCAGTGTTCCAGGGGCCTCCCCCATTGCCTCAGTGTGGGCTCTCCACCCTAGCAAGAGTGATGCCGGAGGAGATGCTAAATTTCTAACAAGGCCCCAGGTCAGCCTCAGACAACCCAGAGCCATTTGAAAGCACCAAAGACTTTTCAGTTGAGATAAAGGGTTATAAATGTCTGTGTGTCCAGGCTTATATTCCACATGAGAGGATTAGTTTTCACTTTCTGTAAACTCTTCCAGTCGTTGGAAGTAGTGATGATTTTGTGTGTTTTGTGCTTCACGCAGGGAGAAAACAGATCTGCTGGTTGGAAAGACGCTTTTTTATTTCCTTTTTTCTCAATCCACTGATTACTCACTAAGGCCTGATCCATTATTGAGCGCAAGTCAGCAAAATCTCTCTGATAGCAATAGGTTTGTACATTTAGAAACATAAAGTGTTCGACCTGGGATCCCAAGGTCATTGGCTTGCTGGGTAGGAATTTAGATTCAGGTCATGCAGAGTACTTTCCATTATTCAAAGTGCTTACGCTATGGAAATTTTTCCAATGATCTAACCCTAGATCCTTTTGTGCTGTTCTCCCTACATCAGGGTATGTTACTAGGAAGTGGATGAAGTTTAGAGCTGCGTTTACTCATTCCCCCTTATTGGGATATGGATCTCTCACACCGCCAGGGCCTGACTGGTTAATTTTGCCCACAAAAATGCTTTCCAGGCCCAAGTGGTGAGCATACAGAGCTTATGTCTGTGGTCCCACTTTTATACTTGTGCACGTTTTTTCTTAATTAAAAAAAAATTTTTTTTTAACATTTATTTATTTTTGAGAGACAGAGAGAGAGCATGAGCAGGGGAGGGCAGAGAGAGAGGGAGACACAGAATCCGCAGCAGGTTGCAGGCTCTGAGCTGTCAGCACAAAGCCCGAAGCAGGGCTCGAACCCACAAACCACGAGATCATGACCTGAGCTGAACTCAGACGCTTAATCAACTGAGACACCCAGGCGCTCCTACACTTGTACACGTTTTAAATTGTGGAGGGTAATAAAATATTTTACTGAAAGAAGCTTATCTTGTCTTTCATTTTTATTTCAGAGATACTTTATTTTCATTTATGATTCAGCTTTAAATGGTATCTGGGCCCACTCTTTCAGTTCTCTGCTGCTGCTTTTTCTATCAAGCAGGTAGAAATTTATAAATGAATTACCAGGTGCGCTCCTTATTTAAGTGGAACTCACATTAATTCATTGTGAAAATAAAATGTCTGCTCTCCTTAACTCACCCACTCAGTTTATTTTCTTGACAGTGTGTTTTCCTTAACCAGCACAGCACAGCAGAAAACACATCAAACTGGGTATCCTGTGACCTACACTGTAGACACAGCTCTTCACAAATGGGTAAACCTGGACAAATCATACATAAAAGGATGGGGTTATGCTAGGTGCTCTGGAGGGTGAGCTTCTCAGACTTTACCATGTATATTAGTCTGGGTTTTCCAGAGAAACAGCATCAGTAAGAGAAAGAAATATAAATATAAATAATATACAATATATACATAGATCTATATCTATCTATCTATCCATCTGAGAGTTATTTTAAGGAATTGACTCGTGTAATTATGGAGGTTTGGCAAGTCCAAAATCTGCAGGGTGGGCTGGTAGATTGGAGACCCATGGAAGAGTTGCAGTTTGAGTCCAAAGATGGTCTGCTGGTAGAACTCCTTATTCCTAGGGGAAAATCAGTCTTTTTTCTATTAAGGCCTCCAAGTGATTGGACAAGTCCCATTCACATTATGAAGCATAATCTGCTTTACTCAAAGTTTATGTATTTATGTATTTATTTATTTATTTTTTAATTTTTTTTAATGTTTATTTATTTTTGAGACAGAGAGAGACAGAGCATGAACAGGGGAGGAGCAGAGAGAGAGGAAGACACAGAATCTGAAACAGGCTCCAGGCTCTGAGCTGTCAGCACAGAGCCCGACGCGGGGCTCGAACTCACGGACCATGAGATCATGACCTGAGCCGAAGTCAGAAGCTTAACCTACCAAGCCACCCAGGCACCCCAAAGTTTATGTATTTAAATGTTAATCTCATCTAAAAAATTCGTGTAGAGAAACATCTAAAATACTGTTTGACTAGATATCTGGACACTGTGGCCTAACCAAGTTGAGACACAAAATTAACCATCACACCATACATAAGAATCACCTGAGATACTTGTTAAACATAGATTCCTGGGCTCCATCCTTAGAGATTCTGATTCTTTTTTTTTTTTTTTAATTTTTTTAATGTTTATTTTTGAGAGAGAGACAGAGAGAGAGAGAGGAGAGTATGAGTGGGACAGGGGCAGAGAGAGAGAGGGAGACACAGAATCTGACACAGGTTCCAGGCTCTGACCTGTCAGCACAGAGGCCCGATGCGGGTCTCAAACTCACCAACCGGGAGATTATGACCTGAGCGGAAGTCGGAGGCTTAACCAACTGAGCCACCCAGGCGCCCCAGAGATTTTGAGTCTAATTGCAATTCTAATAAGCTTCCAGGTGATGCTGATGCGGCTATTTTAGGAATTACTTTCTGAGTGGTATTGGTCTTGGTATGCTATCATATGATCATAGGCCAGACTCTTCTGCAGATGGGGACACTGAAGCCCGGAGTTATAAATGGGCTTGTCCAAACACTCTTATATAGTTAGATATTCTACCCCAAATTTTAGCCCAGGGCTCATTCTTCTTAACATACTTATCATACAAATGAACTTTCTTAGGATGAAATCTAGCTTTGTAATTGAGGTTTCCTCAAAACCAATGAACTAATGGGATTTTTCATAGAACTTGGCAACCTGATTCTAAAATTCATGTGGAAGAGAAAAGGCCAGGATTAGTCAAGGCAAGTTTGAAAAAGAATAAGGAGGAAAGACCCACACAACTATATCCGCAGGTGTTCTATAGAACTATAGCAATTAAAGCAGCATAGTATTGACAAATAGACCATTGGGACAAACCAAGAACCCATTGCCAGACCACGTATATTTGAGATGTTCATGACTGAGGTAGCATTATGAGGAAAAGATAAGCTATCAATAAATACTGCCAGAAAAGGGCCATCTATGTAAGGAGAAAATATACTTCCTACTCATAAAAAATTAAAAATACAAATGAATAATAGAAAAAAATATTTTTAATACATATAACCATCAAAGGATTTTACACACACATACACACACATGCACACTTACAAATGAATATGAAAAAGAAACAATTCAATAGAAACATAGGCACAGATTATGAAGTCACTTCATTGAAAAGGACAGTCAAATGTGTATAATTGTATGAAAATATTCATGCTATGAGACATAGAAATCAGTATAATCACTTTAGAGAGCAATGTGGCAATGTCTAGGAAGGTAGAAGGTGTACATTCCTCATAGTTCAGGAAATTCTTTGTACTTACAAAGATAGCTTTTGCAGAGTTGTTTCAGCAAAAAATTGGAGATAATAGCTCAGTAAAGAAATAGTTCAACAAATTGTAGGATAATTACATTTTGGAATACAAAATAGAGTAGGTCTTGATAGATCTATACAGATAAAGTTAAAGAAAACCCAGTGTTGAGTGAAAAAAAGAGAAGTTGCAAAATGACACATAACATATGATACCACTTGAGTAAAGTCTCAAATCTCACAAAACAATGCTGTATATTGTTACGGATGCGCATTGCCATAGGATATAGATCAACTTGAGGATATGATTATCTTTGGGGTGTAGAAGGTGGGCAAAGGGAGAGACTAGAGGATGAGAAGAGGGATTTAGCTGTATGGTTTTTTTTTTTAAATCTCAAGGTGACATGACAAAAGAGTAAAACGTTTATGTTAAACTGTGTTAAATTTGGGTAGTGGGTATCTGAGTGTTTTATTATTTTTTATATGTTTGAAATTGTCCATAATGACATGTTTTTAAAGAAATAAAAACACTACTCCCACAGTTATTATTTTTAGTATACAATTGTGTTTTTTCTGAGGCGTAAATGTATGCACTTTCTCCTTTCTATGTATTATTTTTTCTTAGGTATCCTTTTCCACTTATTATAAAATCTTTGAGTTGGAAGAAAATTTAGAGGACATTTGTTCAAATCTACCACTTAAGATGGGCACTTCTGGATTCAAACTGGTGTTCCAGGTAAAAACACTTGTTAGAGTTTTCTTATAAGCTTAATAATCTGGAAAATATGGTTTTGGTTAACTGGAAATTTTGTTTTAACTGAGTCAAGGCCCAGGGATAATGACATTTTTTTAAAAAGTAGAATATAATAAATTACACTTAATATTAATACTATGCTGAACACATAATTTTAACTGTAATGACACAGAAGGCTGTGAAGATTTCAGGGTCATCATCATAACCATCAATTATCATTATTTTGGTAATATGTGGAAGTGCCAATTGAAAGAGATCTGATTGGCAAAATGTCAGTTAACATGGAATAAAAAGAATCCATGTAGAAAAGGGAATTGTCACTTATGGAGGTATTGTGGGGTGTGCTTTAGATATATAATTTCATTTAAATTGTTCAGCGATCCTGAAATGTAGATATCCTTACTCTTGATTTTCAAATAAAGGCATCGCAGTTCAGAGAGAGAGGTAATTTACCCTAAGTCCTGTTGGGACAATTATCCCAAACCCGAAAATAAAGCAAAAAGATACCTGCATGACCTTCAATATCATACTGGAGCTTTATCTAATTGGAGCCCACAGAGTATTCATTCTGCAGGGGAATGTACTCTTGTGTGACTTCTTATTTACTATTGATTAGTACCAGGCTCTATGAACTTATATGAAGTTATAATTTAACTTGTGAATTTCATTTCATTTCTCTTTTCTTTTCTTTTCTTTCTTTTGTCTTTTTTTTTTTACCTTTCTTTCTTTCTTTCTTTCTTTCTTTCTTTCTTTCTTTCTTCTTTCTTTCGTAAGGTCTGTGCCCAATGTGGGGCTCGAACTCATAAGCCTCAGATCAAGGGTATGGACTCGGGCGACTGAGCCAGCCAGGTGTCCCTAACTCATGAATTTTTGTCGTGAAAATGCAACTGATTTTTGTCCAGTATAAAATGCAATTCCAAAGATCATTTCAATCTATCTGTCTTTCTATCTATAGATACAGATTTAGTCTTTCCAATTATTGAACCAGTTTTACAGTCCCACTGCTTCCTTCGTTAATAGGGCAAATGAATTTTGGCATGTGTCCTTTGTGTATTTGTACAACAGTCAAGTTTGTACCTTATTGAAAATACTTCGGGGGCCCACAGCTAGAGGCAGAGCTTTAGACCTAGAGTGCATGCTCTTGCTCTCACACTCTCTCTTTTTGGCCATATGTAGTGTACTTCATTATGGAGAATCCAAGCTTGATTAAGGAACTGGTCCTCCTAAGTGGAGGCAGGGAGAATCTCATTGTTAGAAAACAATGCCAGTTTTCATTAATCTGAGAGGTAGATACAATATGGAGAAATCTTATCTCTGGACATGCATCTCCTAATAAGTAGAGGTCTTATCCCCTGGACCCATACATACAATTGCTACTTCCCCCTGCCCAGTAAATAGGATAGGATGGTGATCCACAATTTAGTCCTAATCTGTGTGACTAAGTGTCCTGTACATATACACAAAATATATGTGTTTTGTATATGTGCACAGAATGGTTGAGCTTTGTACTCTCTTGCGTTTCATAGGCTGGATTCAATAGATTGTGCTTCTGTGGGTATCGTCAATGTCCCTATCTATAATTTCTATCACAATCTCCACCCAACTGACCTTAGCTCTATACTGAATCCCTATGACCCAAGTCATTCTACAAACATAGTTCTATTCTATACACTCTAATAATATACATTCACAAACATGTACCATGAAACCCTGCTCATTCCGTATAATAAAGAAAGTGGACTGAATTAGTGAATATGGAATTGTGGACCATTTTTCAAGGACTGAGGTAGCATTATTTTCAAGTACATATATGCTGGTATTTCAGTTATGAAACTATACCCAGTATTTGCCCTTAGGGGCTTAATTAACAGGGAGATAAAAGTGGTATGTAATTAGCTTATCAACAGAAGGAAGAAATGGACATTTCTTAAGTGATTGCAAAGGTAAGCAGGTTAAACAATCTTAGTTTCCTTGTAAGCCTTTCTAGACTATCAATTGAAACAGAATAACCTTTCTTGATAAGAAAAACCAATAGAATTGTTTCAAGTCCAAAGAAAGGATGTGGACTGGGGAGGTTCCCATGCTTTTACATTTCCCCTACAGGTTACTTCATTAAAGGAGCTAATTGGCTTAGTCCACATCCCTGGTAACATCTTCTTGAAGCAAAATGTGGAACAAGGTCTCCTGGCAACTGGAAACTAGTGGCCACTGCCCTTTTGCCCAGAAAAAAGGGGGCTATCGTTGAACCAGGTGGAACCCAGAGGACACAGGCAGGCAGTCGGGCCGAGCTGCTTGCTGATGCTAATTATCCTAGCCCAGTGCTTCCCTTCTGGGGAAGTAGGAGGAGAGAAATTCATGCCAAGTTCTTGCACAAGGTCAAATGTTTCTGGAGGAAGGCAGCCAGGGTTAAATTAGCAGTCAGAATGAGGTAGAAAGCTGGGTGGAGAAAAACAGGCTGGGAGAAGGGGGGAGAAGTCTGGAAATTCAAATAAAGACAGCAGTAAAAAGTAATTACTAACACATTTCCCAACTTGGAAAGCTAGCCACATCCCACACCAGGGCCAGACTCAGAGCTGTTCTGTTCCAAGAAGGTTGGAGCAGGCTCAGGCACAGGAAGGGACTGTGCAAGCCAGCTGCCTGTCCCTGGCTTTGGAGCTGTGCTCCCCGAAAAGGAAAATTCATCTTGAACGAGAAAGCAAAGGACATTGCTGCCTAAATTCTCCATTAAGATCAACACCCTCCATACATTCAATATATCTGTCTTTCCAGGACTACCCAACAGCAAAAAGTCATCAAACATCAAAACAAAGGAAACAGAAATCTTCTAGGAAAATGTAAGCCTTTGTGAACCTAAAATATTTTCCTTCTCTGCTGCTCATCAACATAACCGGAGGAAAGAAACTGTTTGTGGGAGGGACAGATCTCAGGAGAAGAGGAGGAGGTGAAGGAAAAAAAAAAGGAAAAGAGAAGCAATGCTCTCTGGTGTCAAGAAGAAAATCATGATTGGATTGACTGGAATGAACTGTTTTGACAGTTGATTTTTATTATTTTTTCCCCCCTCCAACTTCAGAACCATGACAGACGATTGTGGAACATCAAATTGACGAGCGAATACTTCATCAGATCTGGTTGCCTCAACAACTAAAATAGCCAAAATGTTAAGACAGTCAAATAAGATTGATTATTTCTGATACAATCTGTGGGTGGTTGACCCAAGAATTCTCAGCCTAATCACACATATAAACACAGAGGCCGTCGTTTCAGCAGATGCAGAAGCAGGCAGCGGACAAGTGAAAAAACCGTCAATCACCTGGATGGATGCTCATCACTGCCGTGCCACGGAGCAGTGTGAAGAGAAACACCCAGAAAAGCCTCTGGATTGCTTCTGGGTGCTGGGTGTCACAGGAGGCAGCCAGCCTTAAAAAGCTGGGAATTCTGATCCTCCCGGTTTCTAGCAAAAAGACAGAGTCTGCTTGTAATGGAAAAACAGATTCCCTCAAATTGTTGTCTAGAGGTGCTGAGTCATGCATGAATGTCAGGAGATGACGCCAACCACAGCATCATTTCATGGGGACTTTATCTGGTGCGAACCAAGAGAATTGTACTTTATGAATTTTCTTTAAGCATCCACAGATAATTGTTGTGCTGGGTCATATACCAAAAGGGAAATTAAATCTCTCTCATAATTGGATTTGGTATTTGCAGGCTTTCCTGAAGACAAGGGAAAGGAAGTTCATTTCAGACTTAAAGAAAAATCTTGAATTAAAGAATTGCAATCACCATATCAGGTGCCTGTCTGAATTTAACCCACCGCTTGCAGAGGGATGAACGCCTTAGGGTGATGGCGCAGGTACAAAAGGTTCCTGAGCGTCACACTTGTTTGTTTGTTTGGCTAAGTTTTTCCTTTTCATTGTGAGTTCTAAGAAAATTATTATTTGATAGCTTGGTGGCAATGCAGTCTGTGTTGAGAAAATAGGAATTGATTAAGAAGTGAGAGACTGTGAGAGACTGAAAATGAGTGGGGGAAAAAAGCCTACAAAGCATTTACAGTGTAATTTTCCAATACAGATTTGAGCAGATACCACATGCAGTTGGAAACAGATGCATTTTCAATGCTTTATTATTGAACGAAGAATAATTTCTGTTTCCCTCTTTTTAAAGAGAATCCAAGAAAATACAATGCTAAAATCTACATATTAGCATGGTATTCACTTGAATGCCTAATTGCTTGAAACTTGAAGGATTCTGTTTTGACTCAGAGATCCTGACATGGCTAGCATGCAGCCAGATGTTAGGGAAGAATATTTGCAAGAATCATTTATGGAAACAAAACATTAATCTGTAAAGACGTATGCTAGATTAATTAGCAAGGATGTTAACTTGATATGTGGATTTCTAATGAACCTGGGGATACATGTGAATGTATGTTTAAAACTTAATAGGGGCACCTGGCTGGCTCAGTCAATGGAGCGTGTGACTCTTGATCTTGGGGTTGTGAGTTCAAGCCCTAGGTTGGAAGTATAGATTACTTAAAAAATAAAATGTTTTAAAAAAATAAAATAAAACATAATGTCACATCTTCTTCAATAACTTTGTATTTTATAATACTTTTTACTTTTCTGTTCTAATTGATCTGCACCGCAATCCTTGGGGGTCAACATCTACACTGGACCATGCTGATGAATATATAGCCTTGCCTGACGATTGACTGCCCTTTTCTTCCAGCTAAAATTGTAAGGGCTGAGCCTGTCTTTATATAAGAGTGGTTGCTAAGTGACCCAAACAGATAATCCACTGTGAGGCCAGAAAATTATCTCATTCCTAAGAATTTGAACCAGGATCTTCCTAAAGAATAAGATAGTGGTGAGAGCCAATGTTGACATGTCTCAATGTAGAGGGAAGTTGGAGAGGCCATGATGCTAGCTCAAGTTCTAGGAAAGCAAAAACCATGAACCATTAGAAGTGATAAGGAGAGTCGAGAGACAGCAGAAGGTGAGCAGGAAGCAAGAGGGAGAAACTGAAAGGCAAAGAGTAGCCAAGTCAATAAATGCAAGAGGACCAGAGTGGGACTCCATGACCTCCACTTTCAGTTCTGGGGCAGCTGCCATTCCTACCCTTGGTTTGTTTTTTTCCTGGTAACCCTTGGTAACATGAGTGAGTCTCTATTCCTTGCATCTTATGGAGTTTGACCACAAAGAATTGCTATCCTCCATGTTGCCATTGAGGAAACTAAAGCAAAAAGAGAAAGCAAAAATCCTTTCCTGGTACAGCATAGGGAATATAGGCGATAGTACTGTAATAACACTGTATGGTGACATAGGGTGGCTATGCTTGTTAGCATAGCATAACACTAAGAGTTATTGAATCACTATGCTGTACACCTGAAGCCAACGCAGCGTTGTGTGCTGACTATACTTCAAGTTTAAAAAACCCTTTCCTGAAAAGATGGGTTGTATTATTACACATGTAGAAAGTAGTAGAGCCAACACACATGCCCAGGCTTTTCTAAAATTGATGCTAATTTCAATTTATCACACTATGGTATTTGAGAAACATGATCCCTAAATCCTCCCATTTAAGAGGTGGTATCTATGTCCCCTACCCTTGAATCTGGTGGGGGGGGGGGTGGAGCTTGTGACAGCTCCAACCGAAGGTGAGTAGAAGTAATGAGTGATTTTTGAGACTAGCTTAGAAAGGATTTTGCAGCTTCTACTTGGCCTTCTGAGAATGCTTTTGGAACCAAGAGCCATGTTTTCAGGAAGCCCAACCTAGTCCTCATAGACTGGAAATCTGCTGAGACTATATGAAGAGAGAAAGAAAAAGAGAGACAGAGAGAGAGGTCTTGCCAGGTGCCAGCTGTTCCAGCCCCCCCCCCCGCCCACCCCTCCCCCACCTTCCCTTTCACTACCCCCTCCAACAACCTCACCCCACCACCCCTCCCACCACTATTCAGAGCCTAACCATTGTTGGACTACAAGTACATGGGAGACCCAACCCTGACCCACCTGAGACCTTCCTGGATTCCTGTCACACGTTAAGTATGAAAAAAATAATTACTGTTTTTAGCTAAGTTTTAAACAGAGCAATAAACATTTGGTGAGAACATTATTACCAAATGTGTACTACAGCCAGAACCTAAAGAGATCTAACCAGGCAGTGTGCTTCTCCCTGAGTGGTTGAAGGGGTAATATACAGTATTTTGTTCTTTTTACCTTGAAGAAGATGTCTTGGCATGACCCAAACCACTAGACAGCTGAAAATTTCATTGATGTGGTAGGTCCCTGGATCCTCATTAGCTATATCTTCCACCTTCTGCAGTTCACGTGTCTTACCAAGGCCTCCAAAATATTTGCCACTTCATGCTTATTTGAATGGATTAACATGATGTCACCAACAAAGTAGACAAATATATGGTTCTCTGGAATACCCAAACAGGCCAGTCACCATATTATGAGAGAGGGAGAGAGTTAATATAGCCATTGGGCAAGATCATGGCTATGTCCTGGTGTTTATATTATATCCAGGTCAATGGCTGTATGCCATGTACTAAATGCCATACTAATCGGCTCCAGCAAAGATACCGCATTTGGTACAGCAGCTACAGATGGACCTACTACTTGATTGATTTGTGGCAGCCCACTGTCATACTGCAGGACACATCAGACTTTTGTAGGTACAAGACTGGTGATAAATGGGGGATAGCGTGGTAGATACCAAAAACAAAGGAACCAACGCAAACGTTCTGTCAGCTCCTTATTCCAATTGTATATTCAGGGGCTGGAGAAATGACCAACAGTGTACATACCTGATGCTCTGCTGACCTGATGCTCTGTCATCACAGGGTTATTGAAATGTTTGAGTATCCCCCTTTCCCTAGCACAGGGTTCCCTAAGCAGATGATTGTAGATCCCTCAGGAGAAGGTCTGGGAGAATTGTTACTATAGTACTTGCCATGATCTTGCAGGGTCCTTTCTTCATGGGACCCAGCCAGTCTTCCAGCTGATGGGCTCTGGGTTGACACCTACATCAGATTCAGAAACCCAGAAGGGATTGTGACGTTTTATTGGGCCACCAGCCCTTAGCCTTTTTTTCTTTTTGTTGTATACATTGAGAAGTGATTGTTGCCTGCTCATTCTGTTTTTGACCTTGGAAATGCTGTATTCCATTCACTATCTCCATAGCACCGTAGGTGTCATGTCTTCTTGCCCCAAACTTGCCACTCTTTACAGTAATTGAGCTTACTTTACTTCTGATAGTTAAGTGCCACCACCTGGACTGTATTTTTTCAGGAGTCTCCCAGCACTTGGTTGTCTGAGAGACAGTTCTGCAACAGCATCTTCCGAAATCAGTCCTGATCTATAGAGGTTAGCCACCACAAAGATTCTTAGCAATGCTGGTGTCCCCAGAGAATCCCATTTTCTTTGGTAAATGGAATGTCCTCTGAAGTCTCTCACAGAACATAATAAGCTAACAGGTTTTCTGACATTGCACGATATAGCCACGTTAACATGCCCACTCTCCCTTGACCTTTCCATCCCTTCCTCCATCATCTGCCACAACAATGTTGGCATGTTTCCTGAGGTTCTTGCTAGGATCTTAAATCCTGCATCAAGGGCAAGTGCTTCTGTATCTAGAAACTATTTTTTTTAAGTTTTTTTATTTATTTTTTAGAGACAGAGGTGGAGAGAGAGAGAGAGTGGGGGGGTGGGGAGAGAGAGGGAAAGACAGAATCTGTGCTGTCAGCAGCAGAGTCTGATGTGGGGCTCAAACCCACAAACCGTGAGATCACGACCTGAGCTGAGATCGAGTCAGACGCTTAACTGACTGAGCCACCTAGGCACCCCTCTATAAACTATTCTTTATCCAACTTTATCTTCCATCCTCCTTAATCAACCCCCCCCCCCCCAAATTCCAGCCCATTCATTCATTGTCCCTTGCCAATAAATGGTTGGATCCTTCAGGTCCTTAGGTGTATAATCCCCTTCCTTGATCTGTAATCCCAGCATTTCCCCAAAGGGGCTACATCATGATTTGACCCTAAGTTATTCTTCTGGTGATTATAAGAGGTGGTGGGGTAGATAATAAGGGGTGTATATTGCCTTGAAAGGTAGAGTCTCCTGCATCACCTTCAAGTAAGAAAGAAAAATTAGCCTTTAATAAAAATGAATGCTCTACCTTTTCTAGGACTAGATAGTCCAGTGGAATCTGAGGGTTTAGATTCTTCCTCATCCTGAGTCTCACGGTCCCCCTTCCTCCAAGCAGGGCCATGAGCTTAGTGTAGGAGACCTGCCAAAGTGAAATTTCAACCTCCATGTAACTCCACTACTCTTATACTTAAATCCTGGCCCTGATCCTCAGATTTTTCTGCCATCTTGCTGAATATGGGAGTCTCTTTATATCCTGCCCAGTAGGCTCTGTGGCTTTCACACTTTGCTTATATTGGTGGTTAGTTGCCTTCAGCCATTCATTGCTGTCATCTCATGCATGGATGGTTCTAGCAAATAGTCATCTGGTTTCAAAGTCCTTATAATTAGTATTTACCACAAAACTCTCAAATGCCAGAAATACTGTCCTTGCTGGTACAATTTACTTCCATCAGCATCCTATCCCAATTCATCACTGGTGAAAATTTTAATGATTACTGCACGTATGTGATAAGGGCAATTAATGCTTCATCTCCCACCATTTATGGAGTCATCATTGCCAGCTGGCTAAAGTCTGCTCTCTTGGGCCCCTTCTGGTACTATTCATGGCAGGTCAGGTTCCGGAGGAAACAGGTTCTGAAATTCTTAGAATTGTGTGCAAGAGGTTTATTGGGAGATTTCCCTCAGGAATAATAACCATGAGAGGTGAGGGGGGTGGGGAAGGCTAGGTCTAGGAAGAAATTGAACTGTGGTGAAATTGCAACAAAGGCCTGACCAAGTTTTAAGAGGAGTTCTGGAACATCAAA